CAGATGGACCCTTAATGTAATTTATCAAGACATATCTATTCAGATGGACCATTAATGTAATATATCAAGACTTATCTATCAAGATGGACCGGTATCATAATCTGTAAAGACTGTTTTATAAAGACCATTATCAAGATGGACCACTCATGTAATTTATCAAGACTTGTCTATCTAGACGGACCATTCATGTAATTTATCAAGAATGTGCAGACTTTGGAGAGACCGAAAGAAGTGTTTTGAATGTACAAAATTAAAAGTTCTGATCTCTGTCATTGATCCCAACAGAATTCTGGATTTTATAGAGGCCATTTTCCATTGCAAAAAAATGGAATATATTGTTATTTTGAATTAAATTAAACAATGTATAAATTACTGTTATTTGTATGACGAAACTTTTGCCATGAATATGCTCAGAACCAAACCATGCTGTGAACTGTTGTGAATGCAACCAACTTGTGTTTCGCATGCTCTTATTACCTTATGCAGTTGCGAGCGCTGTAAAATCTTACCAAACAGAAACAAACACATCACTTTTCAAAATGGCACATGGCAGAGTCTCAGGCACTCTTAAACAGTCAGTTTAATTTCCTTTTTTTGGATATTGTTAGGATATCCAATATATAGACGAATCATTCATGTAATGTATCAAAACTTATCTGTCTAGATGGACCGTTAATGTAATTTATCAAGACTTATCTATCTAGATGTACCCTTATCAAAATCTGTAAAGGCTGATTTGTAAAAAGCATTATCAAGAGTGACCACTCATGTAATTTATCAAGACTTAGCTATCCTGACATACCATTCATGTTGTTAGGAAGGAAAGCGAACACATTTTTAAAATTTATGATCAGGTCATCCAAAATGACGGTGGGTCATGGAAACTGGTGATGGTAGATGACAACAAGACCAACGGCTTTGCCCCGCCCATTTTCCAACACGTGCTGCGCTCCAACTACTTCCACACATTTTTCCACGTGCTGGTGCTGGTAGATGCCAGTATTGCAGCCAGCCTTGAGTTTGACCACCATCTCAAGCTGCCGCAGAACAAATACGACAACATTTACTACGCTGAGGTATGCTGTAGGTGCATGGTATTTTTTGCTGGTTTTTTTTTCTTTCTTTTTTTCAGGGGGGGGGGGGGGGGGGGCGACTGGCGTCTGCAATATAATAATGAAAATAATATTAATCATAAAAATAGTAATAATAGGCCTAATAGTAACCATAAAAATAATAATAATAGTAATAATGATAATAATAATAATCATAATAATAACAATAATAACAATAATAATAATAACTAGCTGGGCCCCCTTTCGATGAAAGGAATGATCGGTGCATTAACATCAACTGAAAGTCATTGGCCTACTATATTTACACTCTACTGGAATGGAGCAATAAATCTTGAGTCAACAGTGACACATGTGTTTCCAAGTTGCCAAATATATAATAGATGTATAGATTGATTCTCTATTCTGCTTTCTTGGTTGTACACTATATCATTTCAAAGGTGTGAAATCAGTGCGCACAGCTAGTGAATGGAAACCTCACTTGTTTACAATGGCGTCTTGGAAGATGGACTTCCCAAGATTTTCAGACGGCCAAAGTGTCGAACTTTCACAAATATAATATATAGAGAAAATAGATAGCATTTGTGTAGTGCAGTTC